GACATTGCTTACTTGAAACTGGGTGAAAGGCTTTATTGTTCTCTTAGTTCCTGGAGGACTAGAGCCAACACTGAAGCACCTACTTTCTTTCTATGTCTCCGTACTGCCAAAGAACACAGAATTCCTTTTCGTTAAAGAAGAATCTCCTACCATAGTCATTCAAAATCCAGACAAGCAGTTATCACAAAAATACTTTAACACACAACTACAACCACACTTTAAATAAATGACAAAGTAGGACACCTCAGCAAAGAAACTGAAAATATAAATAACAAAATGGAAGTTTTAGGACTGAAAAATATAATAACTGGAATGAAAAACTCACTAGACAGGCTCAACAGCAGAACGGAGACAACAGAGTGAGCTTCAAGATAGAACTAAAATGACTCATTCTGAACAACACAGTAAAAATAGAGTGAGAAAATGTGAACAGAGCCTCAGGGACCTGTGGAGCTAATAACGAAAGATCCAACGTTCATGTTATAAGCATTTCAGGAGAGGAGAAAGAGTTTAGGAGAAAAAGAAAAAGTATTACAGTGGCTAAAAAATTGGCAAAAAACATCAACCTACAGATTGAAAAAGCTAAGAACCCCCAAACCCGATAAACACAAAGAAACCCATGCCAAAACACATAATAATCAAGGTCCTGAAAATTAAAGAAGAAAAATCTCGAAAGCAGCAAGTGAGAAACAATACCTTTCCCATAAGGAATAAACAATTAGAATGCCAGAAAATCTCATCAGAAACCATGAAGACCAGAGGGAAGTGACACAACATTTTTCTGGTACCGAAAAAAAAGAATTATAACCCAAAACTTTTGCTGTATCCAGTGAAAATGTACTTCAAGAATAAAAGGAAAAAAGACATAGAACAATAGAGTGTCAAAGTATGGGTAAATACAATAGACTTTTTCCACTTTAGTTTTCTAAATTATGTTTGACAACTTAACTAAAAACCATAACATTAGTTGATGTAGTTCTCAAAGTATGTAGAGAAAATATTTCAGGCACTTATATTATAAATGGGGGAAAGTAAGGGACTTAAAGGGAGATAAGGTTCTAACCAGCACTTTAACTGGTATAATGTTGACAGTAGTAACAGTGATATATGTATCATGTATGTATGTATAATGTATTAAGTAGGGTAACCACTAAGAAGTCTATAGAAGGAGATACAGTCAAAACCACTACAAATAAATTAAAATGGAATTCTAAAAAATGTAAAAGTAACTCACAAGAAGGCAGGAAGAAGAAAATAGAGAAATAGAGAACAGAGCTAACAGACAGAAAACAATAAATGGCAGACTTAACCTTAACATATCAATAATTACATTAAATGTAAATAGTCCAAGTATACCAATTAAAATATAGAGATTAGCAGAGTGGATTAAAAAATGACCCACCTATATGCTGCTGTCTTTAAGAACTTCACTTCACATATAATAATATAGGTAAACTGAAGTGAAAAGGAGGGAAAAAGATACACCATGTAAACATTAATTAAAAAATCAGAAGTGGCTACATTAATATCTGGTAAAATGGACTTCACAGTAAAGAAAAAAACAGATAATAAAAACATTAGGAATGAGAAAGGAGATATAGCAATAGAAATGGAGGAGACTTTTAAAATTGTAAAAGGATACCAAGTACATTTTTGTAAATCTAGGTAAAATTGACAAATTTTCTAGAAAGTAAATAATATAAGCTTAATAAGAAATGTTTGTAAAATTATATGAGAAAAATTATATAACTATTGAAGAGCATAAAAGAAGATTTTAATTAGTAGAGGGAAATAATCATATTCCTAGATGGAAATAGTTAATATTGAGAGGGCATCCATTCTCATTAAATGAATCTATCAACTCAGCACAATTCCAAATAAAAATAAAAATATAAATTTTTATGAACAAGCTGAACCTAGATGTCCCATAGAAAAGAAAATGTACAAGAATAACCAAATTTTTAAGAAAAGAAAATGGGATGAGACATGAGCAGCCAATTCATAAAAGAAAGACAAATAGCCAGTAAATACATAAAAACATGCTCAATCTTAACTGCCAATTGAATTAAAACAATGTCGGCTGGGCGCGGTGGCTCACGCCTGTAATCCTAGCACTCTGGGAGGCCGAGGCGGGTGGATCGCTCAAGGTCAGGAGTTTGAGACCAGCCTGAGCAAGA